AACTAAGATAAAACAAGGTACACAAAAAACACCTTTAAGAAATGTTGGCTTAATTGAAAAATATGTTTAATATCTGTTTAATATCAGCAGTTTTAATCTGACAATACAGCAAAATGAAAGTAGTTCATTTTCTAATCAACTAAATATTAATGCATATTTGCTTTATAATCATCCAAGTGTTTTATGTACATTTAGTTTCCTTCAGTCTTCCTGGAATAATTAAATCTGAATTTTGAGAAATATGTATTTTTTTTCCTTTCTTCCAGACTGAGTATGATTTATATGTCAATCACCTGATGGACTTCTAGTCCTCAAAAGGAAATATGGTAAGAAGTAAATCCAAAACACTGTTTCAGACAGTATCATTTTGGCTAATTGCCATGGATGAATAAAAGCCTACAGATTCTGTTGTACATGAGGTGTAAAATGTAAACAAAACGTTGGACTAACATTACATTTAAAAAGTCAAAAATCCCGTCCTACAGTCTCGTCCTTTTGTAGGAGGATGTTTTGTAACATTAGAGTAAATTATTGAAATCTAAAATGCTTTCACGTTTTACTGACGGACAGTTTTAATGAAAATGAAAAACAAAACTTGTTTAGGGTTTTTCTAACGTGTGGAGAGTAAACAAATTGGGAGCATAAGTATACCTACATCTCATGTATTTTTTTTTATTCATTAAATCGTCATATATTTTAATGAACAACCAAGACCCTCAGAATATTTTCCAACAAGCTGGTGTGATATTCCTACACAAAGCAAATATCATAAAATTGCAGCATAACAATATAGGGAAGCTTTTCTCTAACCATTTAGTTCAGATTTATTCAGTGTAAGTTTTTAAGATAATTAAATACAACAAAGATTCCATAAAAACACCAACATTTAGCTTCACTGGCCAGACATGCTGCACAGTAATATATTTTTCAATGCTTACATTATGCATGTCACATAGGGTGGCTGTTTCCTTTTAAGAGGACTGGCAATCAAACAATAGAAAACTATGCTGGGGACATCCCACCCTGGGAGGGAAGCCTAATCGGCCATATTGGAATCCACCATTGCTTCCAGAAAAACACAAAACAGAAATTATAATAATCAATAAAATGGTTTTAGTGTAGTTCTTGTACTACAAAATGTTCAGCCTTAAACATGACTAAGAATCTCTGGGAAAGTTTTCAAATGACGGTCCCAGTTCCTGTCCAACCCATCAGTCTGATCTAATTAGCATAGAAATATGGGCCAAACTGCAGTGCATTTCTAGATATTAGAAACCTGGTAGATGCATATCCTAAACACACATCTTTGCATTCAAAGTGGGTTTTAGAAAGTGTTAACACATGCAGAATTTTAATAGTGCAACATATAAGATTTTTAAATAAAAAAAATACATAAAGTTGAAAAGTTGAATTTGAATTATAGTTTAGCAAGGAGCTGTAAATAATTCAGTTGTCTTTTGTGGTTTTGTTGGGGTTTTTTGTTTTTTTGTGTTGTAGTCGCTGCAGACGAAGTGAAACAGTTTGGAGAGATTGCAATAAGTGATAAAGCCATGGACGAGGCAGAAAAAAAAGTTTGCAGGATAGAGGAAAAGACAAGAAGAGCTCTGAGGGATTACAAATGGTACTGTTTGTTTAACAACAAAAGACCAGAAAATGTTTTCTAGTTTAAAGTTCTCGCACCTTAACTCTATTTATTGTTTCTCAGACTCCAAGATGAGCTGACAAACCTTTTAGCCGCAAGAGACCAAGAACAAAATAGCATAAAAAGTAAGTGTTACTGCAACCTTTGCATGCGTCATCATTGGTAAACCACATGTAAACATTTGCTGTATTCTATAGCCTCCTGCAGAGCAAGCAGGAAGTGCACAGTCTGACTTTATTAATATGCAATTTCTCAGGTTTTCATACTAGGAAAATGATCACCCTTCACTTTAGTGTGCTGACACATATAAAAAAAGAGTTTTGTTGTGTCACTAAGAAAGCACTGCTTTCATACCACCTGTAGTGGTGAATGTCTGTGAGAACAGACCCATCATTGTTCCCTGTTTTGCATTGACGCACGTTGTCTCTTCCTTCTGTGTGTGGGCAGATACATCCCTATGTAGAACGGAGGACAGTGGGACCGCCACCGACCACACCAACATAGTCAAATTCAGGAGACTTCAGGTGCTCAATATGCAGAAGGAAATCCAACAAATGGAGCAGGAGATCCAAAAAAGGCTGGCATCCACTGCTGCTTCTGAAAGACGTGTCCAAGATCCAAAGGTCCTAAAAAAAATTTTAAACCCATCCTGCTTTTTTCAATAACCTCCAGATTAGCAAAATTAAATGTTTTGTGTATTTCCAGGCAGAAACATTAAAACTAATAGGTTGGAATAACCATCTGACGACCACTAACAAGGCACGACAGTTGAACTTTTCTTCTACAATAAAACTTTTGTTTCATGTCTAATTTGTTACCTCTCTTTATCTCGATGTTCATGCAAAAAAATTTTTTTTGCATGAACTGTTATTTGTCTTCCACTTCACAACTATACACTCATTTAGGTGGGGTGTAGTGGGCTATAGCTGTTAGAGCAGAGGTCAGAGCAGACAACTGCTAGTACTGGTTCCATCTTCACGCTGGGTTCATGGGTAAGACCTTTTGCCTCAGATTGCTCTCTGGAACACTGTAATGAATACTTTTCTTGAACAATGAATTACTGTTTTTATGGGAAAAAAGTTATTCATATCCACCTGGCCCTATGTGGAAAGTATATCCACTATAAATATAATTACCTGGTACCAGTATATGTTTTGGCATTTCCTTTTTTATTTTACTGTAGATTAATTTTGGCCCACTCTACTTTACAGAAATGTTCAGCCACTTTGTATGATTCTGATAGAATAGAATAGAATAGAATAGAATAGAATAGAATAGAATAGAATAGAATAGAATAGAATAGAATAGATAAGAAGAGAATAAAGTAAAACAGAAAATCCCTTTATTGTTTTACAATGGGGAAATTCTGGTGTTACAGCAGCAAAAAGATTATAGCAAAAGTAGTCACACAAATGTGGACCTTAGAAAAGTGTATAAAATGACATAATAGTGAAGAGTTAAAAGATTAACCAAAAAGATAATTAACTGTGACGTGTTTTTACAATATAAATACTGTTCACCTGGAGAAAAAAAATAAATAAACACATCTCATTTGTATTAGGTGATGACAATCTAGGCCACCTCCAAATCTTTTTGCCATACAGTGGAAGAGTTGTTGCTGTGCTTTAGATACTTCTGCATAACCCTTACAGTATGTGTCTGTGCTTAAGGTCTTTAATTTATATTTTCCTTCAGGAGTTTTTGAGAGAGAGTCCTCTGTGAACTAAAGCTAAAGCAGTCCCAGATAATCTTCCTTCCATCAACACAATGCCTGTCTTCCGGTACGATACTTTTTTTTTTTTCTGAAATGGTGTTTTATGCCAAATGGAACAAGAAATATGTCTTCCATTCCTACCACTTTTCAATCCAAAAAATATTTTTCCAACTATGTGATTACCTTCGGATACATTTTTAGGTTTGTTTCAAATCAGTTCCTTGGGACTCTTGTAAGATTTTTAACCAGACATGGTTTTGTAAAAGATTTCAGACTGATAGATAATGATTTTACTTCTTATTTGTTGTTGATTTCCATGGATTGGTGCAATATTTGTTGTTTTTGAAATACCGCCCACACTGCAAAAATGATCTAGAAATATATCAACATTTCTTTAATTAAGTGTAAATACCCTGAATTTGAGTAGGTAAATAGGATAATTTGCCAATGGAATGAGTATTTTTTCTCTTAAAATAAGACAATTTGATAATATGCACTTGAAATACAGCAGTGCAATAGTTTTTTCTTATTTCAAATGTAAATTGTCTTGTTCCTTTGGCAAAGATAAGTCCGTGGTATTGATTAAAACAATTATCATTTGCAAGCTGTGGTTTGTGTTTACTTTGGATTTCTTAGCGATTTTATTATAGATTGAACAAAACTGTTTGCATAAATCAACAGTTACTGTATATTCATGATTTTAAATTTTAAATTAAAAATTGTTACTGGAAAAATTACTAATTTTTATCAAAAACCTAAAAAAAAAAAATCTTAGTTAAAAAATATTATTACCTCATTAACAGATAGAACCTCAAAAATGTACTATAACCTAATATGTACCTTATATTTTTTTATGACAGACATTCAGAAGTTGAAGAATACATTTGTGAGTTTCTCTTCTTTACCAACAAATAAACTATAAAACATTTACACAACCGTAAACAGACGACAGCTGCACTTTCTTGCAGGAGCAAATTTAGATTTTCTATCCCCAAACACAAGATGGCAGCAGAGTAACATGAAAAAAGTCCAACACTGGTGAAATATAGGAATCTACACAAAGGAAAATACTTTCAGTAGCTTTATAATGATTGAGTTTTAAGTTTTTTCACTATTGTTTTGTTATTGCTCTTTATAAATGACCCTTGAAGGCAGTCCTAAAAAGATAAAACCGGCAAACTTCCTGTTTCTCAAATAAACAAGATAATTTTATGCTTTTCTGTTGTTGTTTTTTTCAGTGCTGAGTTGTCAGACCGTGACCTTTATCCAAACCAGTAAAGATAGTTTGAGGTTTGTGATGTCTTGAGAAAGGTCACAAGGGTATTAAAAGAAATACTGAGGCTTTTCCTCAGTTTTCCATGTGATACTGCTGTAAACATCCACATCTATGTGACCATCAACCGTGGTAAAAATGACCATTGGTGTGCAGGAATTACTAAAAATGAGAGGATTAGCTGAATTTGGGCAGCCTTGCTATGAGCTGATATGCTCGGACCTTCACCCCTGATATGACTGAGTGCCTTGCTGTCGACAAGAACCTAATCAGGGGTCAAAGTCTGTGCTCAGGCTGACAGTGAGAGAGAACTAAGCTTGGTGTTTTCCTTCACTGCCTGAGCTCTTCCTTCTTTTGAAACCTGACTGAAGACACCCCACTTGGTGGACATCTACCTCTTTTTGAATTTTAGCCAGCTGGTCAACATGTTGCTTCGGACTCCTGCTTTGCTCCTCCTCTGTGTGTCCATGGGCATGAGTGCCACTTTGGGTTACTACCAAACTGAAGCCACTGAAGAGGGGGAAGCTGCTGCTTTAAACACCCAAGCTGCTCCTCTAGATTCTGCTTTGAGTGATAAAATATCAGCATATGATCAGGGAGCTGACCTACCTGAAGTGGACCAAGCCAAAGGGTCAGACACAGACAGGGATACTCCTGATGGAGACTCTGCTACTATTGAAGCTCTTGAAAAGAAAGCTGTTGCCAAGGAGCAGCTTCCATCTGAAGAGGAGGCTAATGAGATCCGGCCCGTCCAGACAAACAAGGCTTTAAATAAACCCCTGGAACAAGATGATGCAAGCAGCTGGAGCCTCAACTCCATAAGAGATAGCTTCCAAACTGTGCACGGATACTTTGACTCCCTGGTTGAGCTGGTCGGGGGACACAATGGTGTCTGTGAATACCGCTGTAGATATGGTAAGGATCAATCTTGCACTCTTACTTTATATTGGTTCTGGTTCCCTCAGAGGTATTAACAATATTTTTTTCCTAAACCCAAAAGATTCTGTTGCAAAAACACAGAAAACCTTCTGTTCTCATGGTTTATTTCCTCACACATATTCAACAAGGTTTGTCCTTTTGGACCTTTGAATTAAAAGCATTTGTTGAGGGGCATGGGTCATTTGTGTTATGCAATCAATGTAGATGCTTTCAAACCAGAGTTGCAGACCTACTTACATCAGAAGAGAACTTAAAGGTATAGATAAGGATGTTTTTATTCCAGGTGGATCATCAAAATAAGTGGTCCTTCTAATAGTCAATCATTCTGGTGATATGTTTCCGTAAGGCCGTTGCGCTCGTCCCCATTTTCACTTACCGGTAGTGAGTCTGACATACTGTAGTGGAAAAATTGCAAATCTTCTTTTGAAACTAAGCTTGTATGAGCGACGCAAATAGCAACTTTTAAACAGAGCGTGCACAAGGAGAAATGGGTTGCTGCACGCTCTTGCATGCGTTTAATAGGCATTACAGGGTTGTGCATGTAAATGAGTACGGGTCTTTTCAAAAATCTGTGAAAATCCTCCACTATACCTTTAACAGAACCAAGATCAGATTTTTATTTAGGGATTATCAATGAAAAAGATGGGGCATATACATTTGAATGACAGTTCTAGTACTTTATTGAAAATATGTAACTTTGATATCCATGCATCTTTTTAATTTCACTTAAAAGTCATGCACTTATCTGTTCCATTCTACTAAATCACAGTGATACATGGAGGTCTAAGGTTTAATTTTTAAGAAGTGTTTGTTAATCCTAAAGCTTAACAGAGCCTGTTTGCTTTCATAGGAGAACTGCCACTTCCTCGGCCTGGCTACAAGCACCAAGAACCCAATGGCTGCAGCTCTTCGCTGGTGGGATTGCAGGTGAATGCTGCTGTAGGTGGCCTGCTCATAGCACCATCCTAAAAAATGTAATTTTACCCCAAAAATACCTTGTAGAGTGGTAAACCATGATAAAACATAGTTTTTTCTTATGGCAGCTTGATGTGGGAATCCCTGCAATGACAAAGTGCTGTAACCAGCTGGATATGTGCTACGACACCTGCGGTGTGAACAAGTACGACTGTGATGCCAAGTTTCGCTCATGCCTTCATGGCTTCTGCTCTGACCTGAAGAAGAGTCTGGGCTTTGTTTCCAAAGTACAAGGTGACAAGCTCGTAAAAGATTACTATTGGTTATTAAAAAAATCACCAATTTAATGTGTGCTTAAGTTAACAAAGTTATTGATCCTTTTTTTCCTTCAATCAGCTTGTGAATCTATGGCAGATGCCCTCTACAACACAGTGTGGACTCTGGGCTGCAGGCCTTACATGAACAGCCAGAGGGCATCATGTGTCTGCGAGGGAGAGGAGAGGGATGAACTGTGACAGACAGAACACTGTATTTCTCAAAAATAACAGAGTAATGGATGTTTCTGCATATTACCATTCCTTTCATATGACCACTCAGGAAATGTTCAGAGTATCTGAAGTGGGATTCGGTCAAAAGGCTTTAAGAAGTAAACTTTTGGTGACTTTACTAGACATGAATCCAGATTAGTTGGTTCCAGAGACTGAAGCGTGCATTTAGCCCAAAAATAGCTGAGCCAAGACAGAATCCCTCTCCTTTATATCAAACCCAGTCTCTAAAATAGCCAAGTTAATTACGCTAAGATTATTTGGACAAAAAATGTAAGTTTTTGTTGAGTTTTATTTAAGTAAACTGCAGCAAAGATATTATTGACAGCAGTTCTTATTCCTTTAATGGAGAGGTGTCATAGGGCATTCATTCTAAGTGCTACAGTATGGAATCCGGTACCATTAGCAGATTATTGCAAACAGTTTCAACTAAAAATGTTCATACATATTGTATTAGCAGAGATTAACTGTTTAAACTTTCACAAGGAGCTGCTGTTAAAACTATCATAGTTATTTAGGGTTAATCTCTTTATCATCAACCAAGGAAAGATCACTACATGCAAAAAGCCCTATGAAGTAGACTGGGGAAAATGTTGTAAACAGTTCATACTGTTATATCAAAAAAGGAATCTTGACATTCAATATAAACCATTAGTTAAGGTAATATCAGAACACTGACAAAAGGCCAACTACAGACAGATTCAAGCAGTAATTTTCATTCTTTATTTTAGGTTTAATCTGTTAAATCTTGATAGCTCAGCAAATGGCAAGAATCAGTTGTTACACCCCACAACCATTCAATCATTAGGGGGGAAGAGTGCACCTACGATCTCACCGAGAGGAACTATGGTCAAATCAGTATAAATTTGACTTTGTTTGCCTTCATGTCAAAAGATACCTTTGCCAGAATCAGTCAATATGCATCACTTCAACATACAGTAACAGGACGGTTAGCAGCCTTATGCATCAGTTTCTAACATTCATTAAATGCAGCTGGCAGTTATAACTAATTCTACCAGTAAATGTTTGGATTTTGCCACAAGCTTTCCATCATGGGACTGCACAGAAAATTAGACTTTGTGCTCTAACACAGGTATCATAGCTTTATGAAAAATTTCCCTTTGGTTTCCTGATAAGCTGATGTGGTCGGTTGAAAAATGTGTAGGTTTAGCACAGTGACAAAGAAGTTATACAGTATGGTGGGGAAAATAGCAAAAAATTTAACAAGGGCCTCCTGTGAACATGCAGACTTCTAATATCTACTTATATAACATCATAATGCATAGATATTATTTCCCTCTGAGTAAAGTTTTGCAGAAAATACAAAATAAAATGACTTTCCTATGTAAAAGGGAAAAATTAAAAAGCTTCTACATAAAGGCATCTATTGATACCCAGAACTGTTCTAGATGTATAAAGGATACGTTTGCTGACAGTTTAAAGATGAATAAAATAGTCTGACATAAACTCCAACAACATTTAGGTATTAAGTTTTTCTTTAAGATGAAAGGATTTGGCTTTGCTCTTGATCACTGTCTATCTGTTAGCTTCAGTCGCTATGAACATTATTCTGGATATGTGCTTCATAAACCAACAAAGATAATTAATCAGGTAACATATTAACTGTTATATTCTTCTGATCTTTAAAATTCACAGCTGATGAATTTAAAACAAGGTAATTTGGGAACTGTATGATAGGATTTATTGATACAGGACCCAAACAGATATCATGTGTCTGAAGATGGCCTTTAGAATCTGAATTAATTGCTTATGCATATTTACCTCAACATTGAAGGCCAAATTTGGGCCTCCATGACTCCATTACCATAAATTACCTGATGACTCCAAACAAAATACCTGA